TATATATATATATATATATATATAAATTATTATTAAATAATTATATGAATAAAAATAATTTTAAATACACGTATCATATGCATATATAGAGAATTTTTACCCAACATCAGAATATAAGAGAAACCTTTTCAATCCAATTTTAATGTATTAATAAAGCTTTTTTAATAAAACTTTTCATAATAATTTTTAAAAAAACCACAAAATGCCACACAAATAACAAGTAAAAACCTACGGCTCTCTACAGAAAAAAGTTCCCTAAAATGATTCAACATATATACAACACTAGTCATGGGGTCTTAAACACACATTTAAGGGTGTCAGCCATCATGAAAGAGAAATCGCTGAGCAAAAGACTTCAGTCAATCCCATTAACTGCATTAAGTCTCAAAGCAAAGCTTGTCTCATTTTCACAGAGTGTGGAGCCATCCTCAGTGGTCATAAGCCACTGTCACCATGGCAGCTCTCCTCCACCAGACGACCATTTAGCAAGGTAATTAAGCATTGCATTCTGGGTAAAATAAATGTTCTACTCTTTCAAGAGGATTAGCTCAATGAACGCACCACAGGCAGTAAATGGCACAATCGAAGGTGTGACGAGCAGGCAGAAAAATGAACTGCGGGATAAAGGGTTGCTGAGGAATGGCTTTCTCAGATAAAACTGTGAGGGGCAAACAAGCGCTCTGTGAATGACCGGAGGCCGGCAGTCTGGGAAAGTCACAAAACCACTTTCCTGCCCATTCACAGGATTAACAAGCATCCTTTTCTAACGAGACAGACAACATGTCATGCGAGTACAACAAAAGAGTCCAAGTGCTGCTGACAGCACTGTCAGCAGAACAATCAATGCCTCCACTAAAGCTACACTTACTGTAGTTCACCCAAAAATGAAAATTCTGTCATCATTTACAGTTGTTCCAAGCATTGACGGTAGCCAATGACTTCCATAGTTTGGGAAAAAAATGAAAGTCAGTGGCTACCAGCAACTGTTTGGTTACCAACATTCTTCAAAATATCTTCTTTTGTGTTCAACAGAAGAAAGAAACTGATACAGATTTGGATCAACTTGAGGGTGAGTAAATGATGACAGAATTTTCATTTTGAACATTGAACTATCCTTTTAAGATTTTTTTTTTTTACTCAAATCCAATATTTTGCTATATCTGCCTGAATGCATCAAGGAAAAAGAATAAAATAGCCAAAGAAGCATTCATCAGTAATTTACAGAGCACCGGTGTTGACAGCAGTTTTGTACAAGAAAGGTGCCACTGGCAATGAATGATGATGATTGTAATGTGCATCTGCACAGTGATGAGTGAAGTTAAAGAAATACATGAAGTCTAAGCTGAGCTCTTTGTATAGTACTGTTTTTCAACTGGTTTTCTACAGAGCCTAAATTTTGTGATGACCCAACACTGTTTATCAAACAAAATAGTTTATCATAAAAAATAAACAGAGATCAGTTTAATTAGAATGAGAAGAAATATGTAAATAACATACAGTTGTGGTCAAACTTTTAATCAAATGTCAAACTTTAAATCAAATGTGACTTTGCAGTATCTGCAAAATGTTAATTATTTTACCAAAATAAGAGGGATCATACAAAATGCATGTTATTTTTTACTGACCTGAATAAGATATTTCACATAAAAGACGTTTACATACAGTATAGTCCACAAGAGAAAAAAATAGTTGAATTTATAAAAATGACCCCATTCAAAAGTTTACATACACTTGATTCTTAATACTGTGTTGTTACCTGGATGATATAATGCTGGGTTTTTTTTTTGGCGATAGTTGTTCATGAGTCCCTTGTTTGTCCTGAACAGTTAAACTCCCCGCTGTTCTTCAGAAAAATCCTTCAGGTCCCACAAATGCTTTGGTTTTCCAGCATCTTTTGCATATTTGAACCCTTTCCAACAATGACTGTATGATTTTGAGATCCATGTTTTCACACTGAGGACAACTGAAGGACTCATACGCAATTATTACAAAAACTTCAACCGCTCACTGATGTTCCAGAAGGAAACACAATGCCTTACGAGCCAGGGGTGTAAACTTTTGAACAGAATGAAGATGTGTACATTTTCCTTATTTTGCCTAAATATGTTTTTTATCATTTAGTACTGCCCTTCAGAAGATACTTACATGTTTCCCAGAAGACAAAATAACTTCAATTTACCCTGATCTTCAAATTCAAAAAGTTTATTAATGACTTAATGCATCTCGTTTCCTTCTGGAGCATCAGTGAGCATTTGAACTTTTTGTAATAGTTGCATGTCCCTCAGTTGTCCTCAGTGTGAAAACATGGATCTCAAAATCATACAGTCATTGTTGGAACGGGTTCAAATACACAAAAATGCTGGAAAACCAAAGAATTTGAGAATAGCATGCATTTTGTAAGATCTCTCTTATTTTGGTAAAATAGGCCTAATTAACATTTTGCAGATACTGCAAAGTGTATGTAAAATTTTGACCACAACTGTAGCTATTTGTGAGTATGTCTTCCCAAATAAAATGTAAATAAAAATAATAATAGTTAAAAAATTTTAACATGAATATAACATTAAGTAAAAATATGATAATCATAACTGCAAGTGAACCTGTATTGAATGTCGTCTGGGTTGTGTTTTTTTTCAGAGGCATAGCTTTGTTCATTCTTTTCGAGGATGACAGTATGTCACCCAACCTGCTCATGTTGGCATCTGGCTAATTTGGTTAACTTTTACCAAGTGATACCTGAAGAGTATGGATATTCAACCTTTGATGTCAACAAAAAAATGATATGGAAAGCAATTTATCCTCCCTTTAAAAAGCTTTAAAAAGCTACAGTTCATTACATTTTATTATTTGCATTTAGCACTGTTTCCTTTCTTGAACAGACCTACAACCCACCAAATGAGAACCACTATTAGATCTAGTGGGATTTATTGAACTAGCCAAAATCAGATTTGTAAAGTATTGTTTAGAATCACATTTGTGCTGTGCACATTCATCTGTACTGTGAACATAGCATGTTTTAGTATGCAAGTTTTTGTTGGAAAAATGTACTTGACCCCAGCAATTTGCCTAGTACCACAGCATGTGACATCTTGCATATTGCACCATAAGGACGCCTGGGAGAAGGTCCAGTGCCCAATACTCAGGTTACCTGTGATGGTGGATATAATAGCCAACACAGCTTTAAGCACTGGAGAAGAAGTTTCCTAATGCACAGTGAAGTATTCTAGGTTTTGGATTCAGTGTACAAAAAATATCAGAACACATCTATACTTATACCTAAAATGAAAGATATATCAAACTGTGTACATTCCATTCAATCAAGATCAATTTGTAAATTTAAAAATAACAGATCCAGCAGATTTCATCCACATGATTTTATCAAGCATTGTGCTGCTCATACTACAATAATAAGCTACCAGAGGTGATGGACCCCTTCATACATCCTAAAAATCACTGAAACCATAGATTCGAATGACTCGTTTAATCAGAATTTAGAATCTGAACTGTCCGCATTATAAACCGTGTTTGACAAACCACACTAAGTTATCAAACTAGATGAAAGTTCAAACTTTCTTAAAAAAAACATAACTGTCTGAGGTGAAAATAAAAATAGGTTAACCCATCTATATTTAACACTAAAACATTCAACGACATAACCTTGAGCTAGTCATGCCTGTCTTAAGCCTCGCACATTAATCAACCTATTGACACTTCACATGATGAGCTCTTGCCTCTTAGGATGAGATAATGCAGTTTCAGTATGTCATCTGTAGCTAAATAAAAATGTGACTTTTTAGAAATCCACTGCCTTGATTAGACTGTAATGTCACATGCTAATGAAAACTGCCTTGCAAAGTAAGCTAAAACATGACATCAGTGTTACTCTCATTTCCATTGAAGAACAGATGCATCTGATTACTAACCGTGCAAAGATAACAAATACATTCGTCCATTCATCATAGGGTGAGTTTAGATATCAGCGGGGCGCAGTCATTGTATGACAAAAAGACTATCTAAATACTATCATAACTTACTCTTGATATTTTATTTACATCCTTTCTTATCCCCCCTTCCTCATTATCATAAGAGTGTGAGACCATACAGAACACTTCCTAAAACACTTGCTGGTGCTAACTGCAAGATTCAGTATCACTGACTGTCTTACCTGGTGACCCAATAAATGATCCAATGCACATCTATGAACTTCTACATACATTTACTGATAATAAAAGAATTACTGCTTGAACAATTCGAGATGGTCCTCACTGCAGAACACAAGATCCAGGGGGCGAGGTTGGATCCAGATCCAACTCCTCCCACCTTACATATACCTAAACCTACCCGTCTCCACCCCCTGATCCCTAAACCCACCCATCTCCACCCCTAAACCTACCATCTCCACCCCCTAGATGTGGATCCAACCCCGCCCCCTGGATCTTTGTTCTGCAGTGAGGGGCTACTGGACAATTCGACAGTTAACTGACTAGGGGCGCCATACGGTAATTTGGGTTACTCGAGGCGAACCTCAACCGACTGCGTCTAGACTGACCGAAAAGTTGACCCCCATGAAAGTAACTGAACTTTAACCTCCTTACCTGCAGTTCACACCAAGCAACCTCCACGGTGGTCTCCGTATCCAATCCTTTGTAGACTGTCTTAAAGGACCCCCTTCCGATCTCAATGTTGAATTTCAGAAATCTTCCATCAGGTGAAGTCGCCACAGCTTTAGTCTCAACCTCATCCTTTTCCTCCTGCTCGCGTTTACTCTCAAACAGGGCTCTTGACAAAACAGCTTTCTTCTCGGTGCTTTCATCATCGGAGTCCGAGCTGGCATCAGCCTCCTGCGCGCTGGGCTCCTCGCTGGCCCAGGTATCAGCGGGTCGCGGGTCCGAGTCTTGCGTCTCAGGTGGAGAGCTGGAGGCAAGTGACACTGGAGGACAAGAGTCCGTCTTTTTCTCCTCGTTGGTACTTTCCGATAAAATATTGTCGGCTGACCACGAAAGAGTTTTTGTCAGAGATGCGATGCTCTCTTGGGGCTCAACGTCCATGGTGTGGAGTTTGTTAAACCTGTAGGCATTTCTCCTGGAGTTCGCCGAGTGTCTCCTCCGTCTCGGCGGCAGGCGCGCTGGAAAGAACGAGTCCGCGTCAAAACCAGCAGGCAACTTCGGGAAGCCAAGACTAGCCATGTCAACCTCAGCCAGTGACATTGTAGTAGATATCTGTGTAGTTAACATTAAAATTGCAGCGCGTAATATAGTGCATTACATGTCTTTGCCTTTCATAATGTCTCCATAACAACTATGCGTTTACATTTAGCCCCAAAATACTCTCCAAACCATAACAGCAGTTCAAGAACGAACTTCTCCAGGAGCGCAATGCAGATTATATAAACGTATAAAAATCAACGCGACTGTAAAATAAATGCGAACGCAAGTTAACGTTCTGTCGAAATATTACGCAAGCAATCAACTGTAGGTTAATAATTCGGTTATTTGAATAATTAGAATATCACGGCGTGAGGTTCGAGCGCGTCCACGGAGCGCACGCGGGTGCCTTCGCTTTCCAAACGCAAGTGTCTAGTACGCTACGCTACTCTGCTGCTCTGGTTGCTCCTCCCCGTGGAAAAAAACACCTTAGTAATTAGTCTGTGAGGGCCCACTAACGGTCAAGCTACAATGCCATAAACGTAGTCTCTCACGTCTCAGATAGATTACAGCTGTCTATTATGGCAAGCTGTTGAAACATTTATTCTTTAAAATTGTACTATTGTTTTAATTCATAACTGTTTTTAAAAGACTAGTAATTCTAATATTGACAAGTATCTTTCACTTTCACAAGGTTCACTGCATATTAGTGCTTGTTGCCAAAGTGACTATATCAAAGGAATAAGTACTAGTATTTTATATACATACATATATATATATATATATATAATTTATTATCATTAAGAAAAAAGTTACTTGTTGGGTAAAGCAAATTACTACTATAGCTAATAAATAAGTACTACTGATTAACTGAATAGAAAATAGTCACCATGTACTATAATGTAATGAATAATTTCTAGTGAGCTCAAAATATCAAAATTACTAGTAGCTAATCTAAAATAAAAGCAGAAATAAAACATTCTATCAAAGATTTTAGTTTTAAGGATGTTGAAGCTGCTTGCCACATGCTATTGCATAAGTTACTTTGGGTTTATCTGTTGCAAGATCATTAGAGTCAATAAGTTAAACTCAATGCAGGGAACCCCAGATCTTTGAAATCATGAAGCAGTGAAGTCAAGAAACGGCTGCTTAATGCAAGTCCAAAAGGCAAGTATCAAAACCTCTCCATTTAAAAGTGAATAAACTGAACAGATGGAATTATTTCTCTGCGGTTCCCATGAGATTGATTAGTCAGAACCCTTAATGACATTCATGTTATTAGTCAAGCTTAAAACTGTCATTCTGCACTGAGAATGATTCAATCCTGCTGTATTCCATTAGCCTGAAGCACATGCAAGAATATAACTACATATTTAGGATGGAGGAGACTAAAATAATTTAAGAATCGGTATACGAACCTATCAGTCATCCACTAATCTGAATATCAGGTAGGACACCCCCCCCTCAACCCCCCAAAATGTGGTCATGACCCCACCATCATTTTACAGTAAGTAGCTTGTACATTACAGAAACTAATAATAACAGATCAGCTGATGAGCAGTATCAGTTACATAAACATAGATATCAGGCATAATTAAATCCTCTTCACAGCATGTTGATATAAGCTCAGACTTGTGCCACACATCAGTATCACTCTAGCGTAGACATAAACATGACTGTCTAAGAATACAACATAGTGCATGACAAATGTTTATAATAGGTTTATGTGACGTGACTATTAATATTATCCTGTTCACTTACAGCATGCATGCATCATATAGCAATGCAGGTAAACTGCTTGGTTTATTCTTTATACTTTTCTGCAGCAAGTCATTTATCTCTATAGGTTCACAAACGGTGGCTGTTTGGAGCAGCTTCCATCTCTCTCACTGTCAGTGTCTTTATTATGGCTTCGTTTCCTAGCAATGAGCTGATGCCCAATTAAAGAACATGGACTGATTGTGATCGCAGACAAACGTGAGGGTCTAGCCGCTCAAGGTCATTTGTTTTCAACAGCGTGTGTTTAAAATAGTGGCTTAAATTGGCTTAAATACTCTAAGGATAAACTTTAAATTGCCATGTTCTATCAGTCGGCCACCGAAGAGGTTTTATCCATAGCGGCAGGTGACTTAACAACAGTGTTTACCGTGTGTATTTTAGACAACAGTGATAACAGGAGCGCTGAACACTCACAACCTGTATTCAAACACTGGACCCCATAGACTTTGACAGTATGAAAAAAATACATGTTTTAAAAAAATTTTTTTTTAAATATGTAATTTTGCGTTCCACAGGGAAGAAAACAAAATCATCAGGTTTGAAAATGAGGTGAACAACATGAGGGTGAATAAATTATGATAGATTTTTTTTTCATTTTGGGTGAATTACCCCTTTACAGCAGTTATCAGGCTAGTCTGCAACCTGAACAATGCACTTAAAATGTGATCTGAAGGCTGTTTGTGTACCGTTTCCTGACAACCATAGTTATTTTCATTGAAGGAATATTTCACCCAAAAATTAAAATTTTCGGACAATGCACTCACATTCAGGCCATCCAAGATGTAGATGAGTTTGTTTGTTCATCGGAACAGATTTGGAGAAATTTAGCACCACATCACTTGCTCACCAATGGATCCACTGTAGTGAATGGGTGCCGCCAGAATAAGAGTCCAAACAGCTGATGAAAACATCACAATAATCCACAAGTAATCCACACGACTCCAGTCCATCAATTAACATCTTGTGAAGTGAAAAGCAGCTGTGTTTGTATGAAACAAGCTTATCATTAAGGCATTTTAACTTTAAACCATCACTTCTGGCCAAAATACTAGTACATAATTCATAATAATGATTCCTCCAGTGAAAAAGTCCATCCACTCTTGTCCATAGATATATTTGTTTAAAACTGTTTTGGATTATTCACGCTTGTAAACAGTACTTGATCTGTGCATATTTCTTTCACGATTCAGATGTAAATCTAGACTCACTAGAATAGAGGGCTCGTATTTTAGCCATAAGTTAAAATGATAGATAGTCTATAGATAGTCTATATGATTGATTTATTACAAACATGCAGCTTTTTGCATCACAAGATGTTAATTGATAGACTGGAGCTGTGTGGATTATTGTGATGTTTTCATCAGCTGTTTGGACTCTCATTCTGACGAAACAAATTAAATTTGAACAAAAACAAACAATAGAAACAACAAAACAACAATAAAACTACTATAACTACATTTAAAATGAAAATGGAAAACATAAAAATAAAAATAAAATGTAATTCAAAAAATGAACAAAACTTATGCTATATCATTGATACTAAAACAACACGGCAGACAGCTTTGCTGGAAACTTTCTAAAAGAAATCATGTCTCTAAAAACAATAAAGAAGATTTGAATGTGGACCAGAATGGAAATACAGATGAGCTTGTATGGAGCAGATATGTTAGACCCCTTGAGCGTGATACAGCATGGCTAGTGCCTGAGGCTCTGAACAGCTCCACGTGACACAAACTCAAAAGAAGGACTTGTGTCTGTGTGTGTGTGTGTACACTTATCAGTATAAACATATTGCTGCTCTGTGAGCAGCTGGGCCTCTCAGCCTCCACTCCGTACTAATCACCCCCTCCCCCTGTAAAACTTTTGCCGAATCATATTTCATATTAAGAACAGCTTGCTGGATTGAGAAACAAGATATATAATCATGCAACAGAAGCGGGTTATGTGAGAGAGTTGATGTTATTCTCACGAAATAGTGATGGCCTCCATCAGCTTTCTGCCCTCCCTATTTATCTCAGTACTCGGTCTGTGTGAAGGGCATATGTTCAGAACCAGGTAGATTCTTGAAAAGAGTAACAAGCTTCCAGCAAACGAATAAACACTGGGGATAGTTTAGCTCCATAGAGGAGTCATCCTATGTATGCAGCGCACTCTTAAACTAACTCTGCATTTAAAGGAATATTCTTGGTTCAACACAAGTTAAGATCAAGCCATCAATATATATATGTATCTTTGTTGATTCTTGTTTAATATTCATGTAACAAATGAGCTATAAATTTGTTTAAATTGTTGTTTTGTGTCATTACAGGGTTTGCATGATTGCATCATGACAACAAAATTGTAACTTTGCACAAAGTCAATAAGCATTTTTCTTTCTTCAAAATAAAATAGTTACATGCATGATTCGTATTGTTTAGGTCTTGTTAAAATACTGTTTTAATAGTAAAACCACGTTTCTAGATTGGCCCCCATTCACTTCCATTCTAGGTGCCTCACTGTATCCCAGATTTTTGATTTTCTTTAAAGAAAAGGAGGACAAATCCAAAATGAATTTAATCAAAATTACACCACAATTAATCTTAAATGTGTGCAGCCTGGAATATTCCTTTACAAATATTTTTAGAGTGGAGAAAGTTATATTTAACATAGCTTTATGGGATAAGGTTTTGCAGACCTTAGGATTGTTAAAAACAGTATGTACAATTTTCAATATGACATGATCAATGTATGACATTCGTTATGATATTCTCCAGATTTCTCTGAAAATCCAGCCTTCTATATCGCTAGTCAATTTTTTCTTGAGTGACTGGAAAGGTACAGTGTGTCCTGTAAGCTTATCAAGCTATCCCTGTATACTGTATAAACAAACGACCTCCTATCGCCTCCTACTAATGTGACTTCACATACTGCCATCTAGTGGAATACAATAGAATACTATAAAATGGACAGTTCTGTAATGTAACTAGATGAGTCAGTTGGAAACAATAGCCAATATATATATATATATATAGCCTATATACACACACACAAAACCGATCAAATTCAATATTAATTTTAATTTTTTAAGTCACAGCAAGAACAAAATATATAAATATATAATGAAATAATTCCTTAGTAAAAAAAAAAAAAAACCCCAACAGTTAACAAGTTCATTAGGGCATTTTGCTTTGTACCATATCATGTGGCCACAGGAAAATATGTTCATTGATACTGAATGCAAGAGATCCACAGTCTCACACATCAAGACAAATGTTAACTGTCCTGCCAACATTGCAAAGTTGGCATCACTGAGACAGAGGAGCATCTAAGAGTTGGCCCCTGTCCGAGGCCCTTTCATGACGAAGATCTTTGCCTCATCATCAATCTCTTCCATGATTTTCTCCTGCCTGACTGAGAGAATGGTGTAGCTGACTGATGGAGTGATACAGGGGTTAAGGCCATTACATCACACAATTAGAGATATAATGACTTATTATTAATTGGCTTGATTGATTTGTAATTATTAATAGTGGGTGGGTAGGCATTCTTTTATAAAATTATAATTATACCATTTTGGTAAAGGCTGAACAAACATATATCCCTATTCACCTGAAAATCTGCTAATAACATTTTACAGAAACACACATTTTTACCATACCATACATAAACATCTATCTATCTATCTATCTATCTATCTGTCTGTCTATATATATATATATATATATATATATATAATGATGTTTATCACTTATATAAATAAACCAGTTGAGGCTGAGCAGTCATGTCATGAAACTATGCAGGATACATAGGCCCACCACAAAGGCTCCGATGGTCAGGCCCGTGATCAAATTACGGCTCCGCAGTTGTTTTGAGTGCCTCTTCCAGTATTCCAGTTCCTGCTGTCTTTTAAGTAGCTGTTTCTGAGCAGGTGTAAGAAGTTTTGGCGCAGTTGAGGACGCGTCCGGAGTCTTTCCCTCCATGTTTGTCTCGTGTTCTGTGACGTTATTCGCTGCACCAATCAATTAATCCATATGAGGAAACGTCAGATGCCTCGATGCGAACGACCAGGAGGTGTCGCTCTAACTCCGAGGAATAGGCTGTTTTTCTGGGACTTTTCACTCTGTTTATATGACAGATATTAAATTAAATTGAAATTCACAATTTATTCCCCGAAGGGAAAATATCTAACAAAATTTAGTTCTGCACTTATAGGGGAGAGCGGGGCACAAAGTAACACTTTTTTACTTTCTCAAATTGTGTAAATCCACACGGGGTTCAGAGTATAATTGTTTTTATCCACAGTAATTTCACACTTGTCTAGTACAAATATGTCGCTTTGTTTAATAATTACAGTGTATACGTTTTTCTTTATTTACCCTCAAAAATTGGAAGTGAAATGTGACAACATGCCCCATAGGTGGGGTACATTGTAACAGCTGAGGGGCACGTTGTAACATGACCATATGACAGCTTAAAATATTATCTGATCTAATGAAAAAAATATACAAGACAAACTAAAATATTTTGTCAATAAAATAAAATAATTATTTATTTCAAATAAAATAATGGCGTTTTTTAAGAATTAAAAATAATCTGATTTTGGAGTTTGACAATGAACACATTGCAACCATGCTTGAGACGGCCCACATAAACGAGCCAAAATGCTTTACATGTCTTGAAATAATAATTTCTTAACGTTAAACATTGACTGTCAGTCTTTATTCAACTGTTTCTCGTCGTTTATCATTAAAATATAGGCCTTCTTACTTAAATTTACTATAAGACTCTCATTTTAGTCCATAAAAAGACATAGTTCTAAACATAATCATAGACCGCTTTAATGCATGTTTTTGTGTTTTATGAATTTGTCTTTAATCACGGATCTCCTGTCTGCAAAACAAATTTACCGTTGGGTACAAATAAAGACACCTTGACCAGCATACTATATAGCATAGTATAATGTAGTATAATATGTAAAAAAAAAAAAACACTTTATCACATATTTTTGAAAGCTAGACAATCCGACGAGCTGATGATTGAAAGCTGGAAAGTACTACAGGGAACAGTAAACAAAGACAAGAACCGAAGAGTTAAAATGAAGGCACCATATTTATTTAGCCTATAATTTCTCACATTGCATTGATCTATAGTCCAGTTATAATATCTGTTCTCTATTTTAAATTGTTCTACACACTGACTTAATGATTGTATATAAGCACTTATAATACTAAAAACATTTTTTTAAATTATAATATCCAGATTTCAGTAATTACCAGTGTAAAAACTACGCACATAATTGCATAACATTAAATATGGTGTATCTGTTTTATTTACAGAATATTTATCTCTGTAATAAAATGAAATTGCCAATTATTTATTAACCATATTTTTATATAAAAACAAAATATTTAAAATATGTACAGCTTTAGTCTACATCCACAACGTTTGTTTTTAACATGCAATGCACAGCCATATTTTACTTTACTGCAAAATGTTCCATTGTTCATTTTCATACTTCTGTACATTGTACTGTCAGCATTTTATAACAATAAAGATGGTGGAAAAATGTTAGTCATACACAGTTGATTAATAAACACTTTCTTTTCTCAGTCTCCTCAACAATGAGGTTCAAACAGTAGTGCTATTGGTGATTAAGCACACATTAATTCCAGCTTTCATCGTCAAGATCTTAGTTCAGAGAAAAATGACAAATCAACCAAATGTCCATACCTTTGTGGAGGAGCACTGAAATCTCAAAGGAAAAACCTTGTCTGTTTGGCTAACTGAAAAAATGTTGTTGTTCCGCAGGAACAGTTTTTGGTGAGTAGCAATAATATACAGCATATTATTCAGTAACATGTACACGTATGTGCTCTGCATGTTTAATACCTTTAAAGCAATCAGAGTAAGTTATTTCTTATTGAGGACTCCACAACTGTCTAATCTCAAACATGACATTTTGACAAATTAGAAATTTTCTTTCTTTATATCCATTTGATCATATTGGCAGATGATCCCTTCGGCTTTTTGTTCTCTTGATTTCGCCAGTACCAAAAACACATATTGCATTTAAGAACAAGGCTGTTTCGAGGTGCAGATCCCCTTGATGTTTCACAATACACTTATATGTTGTGTCATTTTGGTTTTGACTGATTGGGAGAGTCAATATCCAATCAGTAGACGGAAAACAGTCAGTAACCTTGTTCATTTGGGAATATGAGAAGATGGTGCTAATGGTTGTATTCTCTTCCCTTCCATCAGGTGATTTCATTTGGTTTGGAAGAGCTCATTGAACTCGTTGAGAATGAGCTCCACAATCTGGTTCTGGAAGACCATGTGCATGGTGATGTTGGACTCCTCCTGTGGTCTCAGCAACGTCGGGCCAAACACGATGGCCATACTTTGGACAGACATGCGGTTCAGCTCACCATGTTCAATCACCCTGTAGGACAGATGGGTATATGGTCAGAACTGCTTTTCAGTAAATAGGGCGAGGATGCATTTAGTACAGATTTTCTTGAATGACCTGATTACTGTTAATACCCAAGACAAAAGGAAGTAACAAAACCATATGTGACAAAGATGGTCATCATACTACTGACATACTACATCAAAACTGAGTGAAAAATAGGTCCATACTTTCGAAGATGTCTGAAGAGAACCTCCATGGTGTCATGGTTGGGCAAAGGCAGGTTTCTCACCAGATCTTGAATATATGACACTTTCTGGCTGTAGTCACTCATTTCTAGAAAACAAATACAATCATTGAGCCCTTAAACATGCATGAATGAGGTTTTGGTCTTGGGAATTAAACTTAGTGTATTGTTGAGTAGAAACTCCCTACAGTTTCCAATAACAATCAATCAGAGTCAAGTGGAATCATAAATCATTCATTTCGCAGTTCATGATGCATTGCATCATTTAGAAAAGAATCATAACCAAATCAAATTGTGGTTCAAAGCAAATATTCATGACTTGTTTTCAAGTCAAAAATATATTACTTTGAATATCTAACTCTTATAAAATAAAAGCTTTATTAGGTATATATCATGTGTCAAAACATAAAGGGATAGTCCACCCAAAAACTAAAAATTTGTAATTATTTACTCATTCTTCATGTTGTTCCAAACCTGTATGAGTTTCTTTCTTCTGTTAAACATGAAAGAAGATATTTTGTATTATGTTGGAAAACAAAGTTGCTGGTAGCCATTGACTTTCATAGTATGGGGGAAAAAATACTATGGAAGTCAATGGCTACCAGCAACTGTCTGGTTACAACATTCTTCAAAATATCTTCTTTTGTGTTCAACAGAAGAAAGACACTCATACAGGTTTGGAACAACATGATGGTGAGTAAATGATGAAAGAATTTTCATTTTTGGGTGAACTATCCCTTTAAGCCAAAAAGCAATGAATTAAAAAAACATTGATTTTGTTCTCTAAACAGGACAGTAACACTCACGAATGGCAGCGATGAACCTATCAAAAAAACTGAAGGGGAAAAGAGGCTCAGGAAGTTCACGAAGGAAAAGCTTCAAAGCTCCTGTAATCACATGGATCTCTTCCCACTGCCCGTCCTCCAGATCCAGATCCTCTTCTACAGAAAGAAAGGAATATACAGTTTTATATAGTCAATAAAAACAGTATTGTTAATCCACCACTGCTATAATAAATAAATTCTGAAAACTTCATTGTTTGAAGGAGATCCCACATGAATTTGTGATTTTACAGCAGTAACCATTTATATTACCATTATTTTTATTATGTTTATATCTACTTACATTAAAAATAATCAAAAATATACTTTTACGACAACTATCTAAGCTCTTTCGATTTGACATCTGATAATTTTCTAAAGTTTGAAAAATTCCTCCTGGTGAGAATGTTTTAAAAACCTTTGTTAAAATTCTGAATGAAATCCTTAACTATAACTGTAGTAATTAAGGTGTTTTGGCAGATTGTTACCATGGTAAATGTGTTTGTTTCCAGCAGTCTGTAAATTCATTGTGATAGTGAACTCAATCCTAAACGGTGGATGTATACAGTTCTCAAGGGTTGAAAACACAGTTAAAGTAATTGTGATGATGCTCTTGTTTACCATGATCCGCTTTATATCGCAGCTTCTGGATGACAGCCAGGTTCCCATTGACTCTGTAGATTCCATCTATTTTCAGACCTGCACCACGCAAACAGACACTGACACTTTAGATAACTTTTCTTACTTCTGAACTAAACACACACCAGAATGAACGCTTACCCCTTTTCTCAACAGATCTTATGCATTTTTCCATAAACTTGGGCACGGTTGTGTTTTCTCGATGACAGAGGGTGTCTAGGTGGCAGCCAAACACATTCTCTGTAAACAAAGAGAAACTAAAAGTCAAAATGATTTACTGTGAATATAGGATAAGGACAAGTCCACTAGACTCAAATTTTCATTGATATGTGCTTGAAATCTTTGAAAGGGAGTCTTTAGTATTTATGGACTGCACTTTAATCACAGCGTTACTAATTAAGCTCACAAAAGTTGATCCTAACCTTTGATGTAGCCCTTCTCTTTGACTGACTGCAGAGTGGGCCGCCGCTGGAGGAACTTGCGCAGCTTGGTGCGAACACGGCCCTGTTCTAAGTCTATGCTACTTGAAGAACTCAGTCTTGTTGCTATAAGAAAATGATTTATAAATACAAAGAAGCTGAATTAAGTCATTAATAACAGTGATTTGCTTGATGCGCATCTGATTCAGTTACTGACATTCACTCTTCCTCTCTTTATCTGCAGGTAATGGAGGTTTTTCTGGGATATCTTCCACTTCATCCTCTGAGTAATGGTTATGGTCCTGCTGTAAAAGATCACAACATATTTTCATCATTTTAAGAGTAAATGTGACAAGATAGAAAAATCTTGGCAACTTGTGTTTTTTTGTTGTTGTTTTTTTGTTATACTGTATGTTGCCAGCAGGGGTGCCACTCACCAGCATTCTGATGGTGTCCAGAATGATCTTGTGCCAGTCATGTATGATGCTGTCTGTGTCATATTGTATCAAATACTCAGAGCCATGACGTGTCTTGAGCTGCTCAGCGACATGGA